AAGGTGTATACCCATTCTCTGGATCAAATATCAAACCACCTGAGAACCCTGTTCTTTAACTCCAGCATTTGTTCACTTTTTCAGAGATGAGGTTGAGTCATCTATAGAGGAATGTTAATAATTTGCAGTGCTGAATTGTTATCATCAGTTTTGTTTTCCTTTGCTCCTTACATATTTTTGTTTAAATATGGTTGGCAGTTCTGGTTTTAGCTACAACAGAACTAATTCCATTCCGTGATTTTCACTTTTAACTAAGTCTCTTCTAAGTAACTGCACTTTCTGAAGTTAACAGCATCTTTTTGCAGATGGTGTCTGCCTCCAGCAGTGTAACTGCCAGTAGAGGGGGTTGGGTTCGATATGGGTTTTGTATATATTTCATTTTATTATTATTTTCATTAAAGTTGTTGTAGTCTTCTTTTCCAATGCATAAGTCTCTCCCCCTTATTCCTTTTCACTTCCCCTTGGGGAATGGAGAGGGATTAATAGAGAGCAACTGTCATTTGTCTAGTGCCTGGCAGAGCCCTAGCTCTTGACAGGGAGGAGAAGCAGAGGAGCCTCAAGTACTTTGATAACTCTCTGGTTGCAAGAAATCTCAGAAAAGTGGTCACTTGAGCAAAAAAGGTGTTACTTTTTCAATCATGTTTCAGATTAAAAGCAATTTTACAGAGAGATGATTTGAAAGAGAGATTTCAAAACACTTTCAAATGAACTGCTTTCTAAGGAGGAATGAAAAGCTTTTTCATGGAACTGTCAGTCTAAAAAATTCATCTGAGGAAATGTTAGATAGCTTTGGATTTTAAAATTATCTAAGTATCATTAAGTTAAACATTTAATTTTATTTGGGGTTGAGGCCATGTGGCATAGGATCCATAGCGCAGATCTCCTTCCTTACCTTCTCTGCCATGTTTTAAGTAGTGACAGACAAACTCCAGCAGTGGAGTTCAGTGCTGTAGATGCCAGGTGACACTGCCAACCATAAGCAGAAGTAATTTGCTGTGCTCTCCTGGGCCATGCAGGTGCTGTGGTCTTCACCATGTCTTGTGAAAAACTTCTGGGCAGTTGGTACAGCATGTGGGATCACCACCACAAAATAAGGTTAAAACCTGCAGAGCAATCAATCTTTTTGTAACCCTAGTATGCAAATCCAATTAGGAAATATGAGCTGTAGGCAGTAGCATTACTCAGGGCTTGGGTTCGTGCACTTAAAAGTAAAATGGCACAGCAGGTGGCAACAGTGTCTTTCCAGATCCTCTATGTCTGTTTGCCAGTGGTAGGCTCCCACTTCAAATATTTCCACCAGCACAAGTCCACTGGTTGTCATTCATCACAAGAAGGTCCCTCGTACCTCCTGACAATTAGGTAGACATTTCAGGGGGGAAAAAAAAAAAAAAAAATTAGAAAAAAGCAACTAATTCCCATTTTTCCCTCCAGTGTGAATATGATAATCAGTCCCATCAAGAACAAAGTATCTGGACAGAGCCCTTTTTTTTTTCTCTTAATTTAGGAGAATAAGAAGCATTTCAGGATCTCAACATGCCTCTTAAATATCCCTGAATCCCTGACAGTCCAGTTTGATGGTAGCAGTAAGAAATATTGATCAAATAATAGCTAACATTTTCAGTTTCTCAGCGGTAACTGTTTCTTTAGGTTCTTTTTGTAATGGTATCTCCATCAAAGTGGGAAGTTTCCACTATGTTTAAAAGAAAAATACAAGGAAGAAAAAGTTCTTCAGTGAAAGATGCCTATATACAAAACCAATATTGAACCCAACACTCCCTGATGGCAATTACATCATTGTCACCACTGATGCTGTGGGCACATAGTGGGGAAGTCCCAGACTGAACTCTGCTGCAGATGGGACCCAGATTCAGGAGCTGAATTCACAAAGTGGATTCAGAAATGCATGGATCAGGATTGAAGGCAGAATGGACAGAGTCCTCCTCAGGTGCTGGCCTTTGGAAAAGAGAGCTTGATCCTCGTGATGCCTCAGCTTCACACTGAATATGATATGTATGGGATGGAATTCCTCACTGGTCAGTTTAGGGTCACCTGCCCTGGCCACTCCTCCCTGCAGGGGCAGCCTTTTGCTTTCTGCACCCCCAGCATGGCACACAAGATTTAATTGTGACCTCGGTCTGCACAGGAGCAAATACAAGCAAGAGTCTTTCTGCACACCAGTCCTTGGTAGTCACTGTAAACATCAAGCATTATCACTGCTAGAGGCAGACACCATCTGCAAAAATCTGCTGTTACCTTCAGAAAGTGCAGTTACTTAGAAGAGACTGAGCTGAAAAGTGAAAATCACTGAACCGAGTTGTGTTTCAACCAAACAAAGGAAAGCCAGCAACACCAGGGAATTTCCAACATTTTCCACTCCTTTAGGAATAGCAAATGGGCTTTCAAGGTCTCCCAAACAACTAAACCTCACTAATCTACCTGGTATTTGCATGGAAGAATGAGCTAATTGACCTAGAGTTTTTTCCAAGGAGCTATGTGGAAGCAGTGTCTTGTCTGTGCAACTGCTGGCAAAGACAAGACAAGCCCTCTGCTGCTCTGAGGGCTCTCAGGCTGTCAATGAATTCCATGCAGGGTCAGGTCTTCTCTTTCACTGTAACTTCTGCTTTCTGATATTAAAAAGAAAAAATAATCTGCTGCTGGTAAAAACAGGAAACTAACTGCTGCTTTTGGTAACCAATTTCCTTCTGTGCAGGACTGTCACCACAGTACAGTGTTGGCTGAGGAGGATTTGTTTGTCAAAAAGCTGTTATAGCCCAATACAAGTTTTGTAATTCTGTACCAGTAGAGCATCACTTGCATTGGCACTTGTTTGTCATGCAGGAGAAGATCGGGATATTCAATGTGCAGTGCAGAGAGGTGATGGCTCAGATTTGTGGAATGAGCAGGTGCCTCCAGATGGGGCAAAAAGGATTAGACTGCAGGGCCTTTTCTGAGGAGTACTTCTTTGGGCACTGCGTACATCTGATCTAAAATTAGTGCTAATCTGTTGATCTTTCAAGTATGTTGAAAGGCTTGCTCTCACAGAAGAAAGGACCTCTGGCAGGGGTCATATCTATGCTGAAAAAGAAGTTCCTCCTGAGTGGCTGGTGTTGGTTACTCATTGAGGTAGCTTTTTATATCAAGTACACAAGCTAAGCTGTTCTTTAGCCATCACAAGAGGGTTGCAAAAGCTCAGTGGGATATGTGTGATGATAGTATCAGCTGAAAACTATCATAGAGTCAATGCTTCCACACAAATAAACAAGTGAGGATTTTTAGAGACATGTAAAGCGTCTGGACCTCAACACTTATCAGGACATCACACATCCATCTTTGACTACAGCACTGACCCAAGGGTGCCTCTGCATCTAAACAGCAACTGCTTTCAAGTGACCTCTTCTGCTTTACTGACAGTCCTACCTCCGACAGTCCATATGAACAAGCAGTGAGGGCTTTTTCATCCTTCTTTTCTAGGGTCCTGGGGTCCTGTTTCATGTCATTTCAGAAACAGGTCAAGAGCCCAGAAAGTTCAGGTCCCAAAGGGCTTCCCTGTCACAAAGCCCATGCTCCAACATGGAGCACCTACAGCTCCAATTGATGCTGCTGAGAACCCTCTCCAGAGAAGGGGCTGAGGGCTGGTCAGACTTTGATGCAAAATTACCTTGTTCTGGGAAACTGCACTTCCCTAAACACCTGCGGTGCTTCAATAAAGAAATAAAAGAAAATTTCCCTATGCTGCCCACAGCTCTCCCCTTCTGATTCAATGTGTAACATTTCCCTGAGATGGGAGCACAATCCAGCACTACATTGTGCACCATGCTCCTCCCCTCCCTTGGCTAACAACCCCATGGACCAAAAAGGGAGGATTTATTTTTTTGTTCTTCTCTTAACATTTTTATAGCATTGTACTAAAAATGAGGGCTTGGGGATTTCCTGTGGTATAATTTCCCACTTTCTTTTCTGCAGGGCACCTTGGTAGGGATTCAACATATCCCACAGCTGTTGGGGCTGGCTCTCGCTCCATGAGGAACACAGTAAAATTGAGGAAAGAGAGGCTTCCTCACCCGGCTCAGCAGTGCATAGAAGATTCTTTGTTTATGAATGTATTGCTACAACAGGCATTTTCTAATATTGCTGAAAATAAAGTGTAATATCCCAGGGATTCCCCACAGAGGAATTTAAATTTAGAGATTTACAAGGTAAGGTATTGTTTCACATGTATATAATTTAGCCACAAAATACTGATGAAACATATATACATTAGTCAAGGATCACATTGCTCCCTATAAAAAGGCTATTTCTTAAGTACTTGAACATTTGTAAGACACAGCTGATGCAATTCAGACATGAAACTAGCCCTGCAGATTTCTTTATGCAGTTGTCCTTGTGTTTATTCCCAAGGTGTAATGAAACATTCCTCCTTGGTGTCAGCACCTCCATTTGTTTTGCTGGAGTGAATCTCAAACTGCTTGAGCTACAGATATATTTCATAGTGAAGAGACAGAATTGTTTTATGGCATAACATGTTTTGATAGTATGCCATAGAAGGGGAAATTCAAATTGTAAGTGCCCAGTAATGGTCATTTGTGACCCAGGAATGATCCAGCATGGCAAGAAGGGGTTATTTGTGAGTGGAAGACATGAGTATGACAGAGACAGGCTTGCTTCCTGTAAGGGAGTGAAGTTTCACTGGGTGATAAGACATTTTGCAGCATCGTCCTGTAGCAATGGTGCAATGGGACTCTACCCCCTCCCCCATCCCTCAAACTGTAATACTAAGGCACCAAACAGTTGTGAGGAACCAATTTTTTTCACCTTATCTGTAATAAATAATGCTCTTCTATTCCTTTCTCATTGTCAGAAGCTCAGAAAGCAGAAAAAAGTTTAGGGGAAAATATCACCTCTTATACAGATCTAGATGTAAGGACCTGTTCTCTCCTGGCAACTCTGCATCTTCTTTGCTAAGTCATGGGGAACAGGTGAGGTGCCTGAAGACTGGAGGAAAGCAAAAGTCGCTCCAGTCTATAAGAAGGGCAGGAAGGATGATCCAGGTAACTACAGACCAGTCAGCCTCAGCTCCATCCCTGGGAAGGTGATGGAACAACTTACCCTTGGTGTTGTCTCTAGGCATATCAAAGATAAGAAGGCTATTCGGTGCAGTCAGCATGGCTTTGCCAAGGGGAAGTCATGTTTGACAAACCTGATAGCCTTATCTGAAGACATTACCAGGTGGATGGATGGTGGCCATGCAGTGGATGTTGTCTATCTGGATTTCAGTAAGGCATTTGACACCATCTCCCACAGCATCCTCATAGGTAAACTGATGATGTGTGGTCTGGATGACCAAGTAGTGATGTGGGTTGCTAACTGGTTGAAGGGAAGAAGTCAGAGAGTTGTAGTCAATGGGGCAGAGTCTAGTTGGAGGCCTGTGTCTAGTGGAGTCCCTCAAGGGTCAGTGCTGGTGCCGATGGTTTTCAATATATTCATCAATGACCTGGATGAGGGATTAGAGAGTGCTGTCAGCAAATCTGATGATGACACGAAACTGGGAGGAGTGGTTGACACACCAGAAGGCTGTGCTGCTATCCAGAGAGACATGGACAGGCAAGAGAGCTGGGTGGGGAGAAATCTTATGAAGATCAACAAGGACAAGTGTAGAGTTCTGCACTTGGGAAAGAATAACCCTATGTACCAGTACAGGTTGGAGACTGCTCTGCTGGAGAGCAGTGTAAGAGAAAGGGACCTGGGGGTTTTGGTGGACAGCAGGATGACCATGAGCCAGCAGTGTGCCCTCGTGGCCAAGAAGGCCAATGGCATCCTGGGGTGTATTATAAGGGGAGTGGCAAGTAGGTCAAGAGAGGTCCTCCTGCCCCTCTACTCTGCCCTGGTGAGGCCACATCTGGAATATTGTGTCCAGTTCTGGGCCGCTCAGCTCAAGAGAGACAGGGAACTGCTGGAGAGAGTCCAGCGTAGGGCTACAAAGATGATTAGGGGAGTGGAGCATCTCCCTTATGAGGAAGGGCTGAAGGAGCTGGGTCTCTTTAGCTTGGAGAAGAGGAGGCTGAGGGGTGACCTCATAGATATCTATAAATATGTCAAGTGGGAGTGTCAGGAGGATGGAGCCAGGCTCTTTTCAGTGACATCCAATAACAGGACAAGGGGCAATGGATACAAGTTGGGACATAGGAGGTTCTATAAAAAAATTAAAAAAGCTTTTTCATGGTGAAGGTGAGGGAGCACTGGAACAGGCTGCCCAGGGGGCTTGTGGAGTCTCCTTCTCTGGAGACATTCAAAACCCTCCTGGACGCGTTCCTGTTCAATGTGCTGTAGGTGATCCTGCTCTGGCAGGGGGGCTGGAGTAGGTGATCTCTGAGGTCCCTTCCAACCCCTAACATTCTGTGATTCTGTGATTCTGTATAACTGTTCAGATAATATCATCACAATGAACATCAACAGATTTCAATAACCCCTGGGAAATAGGTTTAATAATCTAGATAAGACATTTTCAATTCTTAAACACACTGTCTTATATAAGCTGAGGAAACTATCCCACTTTTTGAAGGAATTTACATAACCTAAAATATGTTTCCATATGCTTGATATTAATTCCAAAGACTTTGAATGTATGCCATCTGATCATTGCTTATGTCACTCCATGGGGAATGATGGAGTTTTCTGCTCTAGGCTGACACTTCTTGGAAGAAGAATGCGTTGAACAGTAAACCTCAAAAACATACTCTTCTGCCTTGACAGCACATTTCTGTGCTGTGCTAATGTTACCCTTGCTGTGGATATGCAGCCAACTCATGTGACATTATCAGAATTATACTCTTGCAGCAGCAGAGCTACAGGCAGCTGCACAGTTTACAGGAGCTGCTGAGTGGGCTTGTGGGATGAAATTGCTCACTGAAACGACACCCAATTCAACTACTCTTTTTCATATAAAAATGCCATTATACTTTGCTCCACTCTGCTTCTGCGTGGCTGGAGATCAAGAGTCAGTGGAAGAGTAGAGACTTGGCATGAGCACCCTTCCCTTGTCAATTTATGTTTAACTTCCTGAGCCAAGTAATTTTTAATCAGCTTAAGGGTTTGGTTTTACTTTTCTTTTTACACCAGTTTGGATATTTTTCCAAAAGGAATCAACAGAAAGAATGAACTAAAACAGGGAGGATATATATCCAGCTAGATATGAAGAAGACAAAAAAAAAACAAAAAACAAAAAACAAAAACAAAACAAAAAAAAAACAAACAAAAAAAAAAACCAAAAAAAAAAAAACCACAACACTGTAAGGCTATTTATCACAGTAAGGCTGTGGAATCTCCATCCTTGGGGGCTTTCAAGACTCGATGAGATAAAGCCTGAGATAACACAGTCTGAACCACTTTGAGTTACAAGTATACACTTGATGATATCTGGCAGTCCCTTCCTACCTGAATAATTTTATTATTAGGGTTTATGTCATATAATGGTCCTGTCAACTAGTGCATTTACATTACATTTCGAGATTCCTGTTTTAAAGTCTAATTTGAATTTTCTTTGACAAATACTTGGTTCATTTTTTAAATCATGTCCCATTTTCTTGTTAATTAAAATTATTTTGAAACATACTCTGTTTCTGAGATCTAAATGACATTCTGCTTAATCTATTTTTAAACACCCTTTAATATGTTGTCTTAATCTGTAGAACTGTCTTGCCAGTGAAACATTCTGCTATAAATCATTACATAAACATGAAAACTCTTTTCATTGCATTACACTAAAACCTTCCCCAGTAGAAAGGTAAGGATTTTATTTTGCTGATTCAGAAAAAAATATAAAAGAACTAAAATCTTGATATTTGGAGAAAGGAGAACTCTGATTTCTCCCGTCATGGCATTACGATACTTCCCAGAGCTCCTTCTTTTCTTTGAAACATGAGTCATGTGATAAAATCCTGTAACTGAATCAACCACAAAACAAAGAAACTCCTGACAATTAATAAGCTAATTGGTAGTATGACTTAGAAGCTTATTCCCACTCAGATAAGTCTCCTATATGCTTGAGTGCAAAAAGAGGGATGGTGAAGGCGGCCAGGAGAGCTTGCAGCATCCATCCCCTGCCACAGCCCCCACCCAACTGTGGTGCTGCCTGTGCAGTGCTGGTTCTGTGCCACGTCCCTAGAACAAGCCCTCTGAGTCACTGCTAGATGGGGCAGCAGGAAGAAGCACTGGCTCTGAGGAACACTTCAGCTGCTGTTCAGTCACTTGGAACTCACCAAAACTACCAGGAATTGAAAGCAGCTGATCAAGGCAGCAGGCAAAACCAGAGGGAGTGAGAAAGAAGGGCTGATCAGTGCATCAGACTTGCAAAGCCCCTGACTGGACAAAGCAAGCTGATTTTGCTCAACAGCTTAAAGGCCATAAAAACACACACACAAAAAAAAATGAGGGCAAGAGAGTAGAAAAGGGAGCATTCTGACCCAGAAATATCAAGAAAACAGTGGAAGGACCTGACAAACTGCTTGAGATCTTACTGCCCTGAAGCACTGCATAACGTGGATAAATGACACTGTGTCACTTTGCTCTCTTGTCCCTCATGTTCAGCAGCCTCAGCAGTACCCTGCAGCCTCACGACACCAAAGGTGGGTGGCGGCACAGCTTGCCACCCTGATTGGACTGGAAAGTCTTATTGTGAGGTGAAATAAATACTCCCTTTCCTGTGGAGGAGGCCCTCATCTACTTGCTTTTGGCATGAAGTGATGAGGAGCCAGAAAGGGTCCCCTGGATGGAATGGGGCCAGCATTCCTGGCAGACAGCCCCGATGGGAGTGAGGTACAGCAGCCTGCCCAATGTCCACTTGTCCCAGCTGGTTTTGCTCCACATCTGAGTGAGCTGACTCAGCAAGCTGACTTCTTGGGGGGAGGGGGGGGCAGGGTAGAGAGAGAAGAAAGTGAAGTTGTTGCTCATGGGCAATATTTCCAAGTATCTCTGTCATTTGCCCCTGCCATACCTGTACTGCTGCCACAGTATAGTCAAGCAAGGCAGCAGCCAGCTGTACTCGTAGAATCATAGAATTGTCGGGGTTGGAAGGGACCTGAAATATCATCTAGTTCCATCCCCCCTGCTACAGGCAGGGGCATCTCCCACTAGATCAGGTTGCTCAGAGCTCCATCCAGCCTGGCCTTAAAATCTTCCAGGGATGGGGCTTCCACCATTTCCCTGGGCAACCTGTTCCAGTGTCTCACCACCCTCATGGTGAAGAACTTCTTCCTAAACGTCTAATCTGTATCTACCTACTTCTAGTTTGCTCCATTCCCCCTAGTCCTATCACTACCCAACATCCTAAAAAGTCCCTCACCAGCTTTCCTGTAGGCCCCGTTAAGGTACTAGAAGGCCACAATAAGGTCACCTCGGAGCCTTCTCTTCTCCAGACTGAACAGCCCCAACTGTCTCAGTCTGTCTTCATAGGGGAGGTGCTCCAGCCCTCGGATCATCCTTGTGGCCCTTCTTTGGACACATTCCAGCACTTCCATATCTAATATCTCATAAGAAGTACCATTTCTGTCATCTGCTAAACAAGAGGAGGAAATGAAAGGAAAAAAATGCATTCTGTTTGTGTTTCCAGAGCTACCATGAAGCAAGCTCCTTTTCACATGGGGACTGGTTTCATTTCTCCTGCTTTTCATCAGAGTATGTAGGTGGAGCCTGTACATACAAAAGCACCAGAAGAAGTTGAAAAAAGTTACTGCCTCTCCTTGCTACAGGACACTACACAGGTAGAAGTTTCTCTTTTTCTTCCTCTAAAAATAATCATGGAACTTTTGACAGTTATCTTCATTCCTTTTAATAGTTGTATGTGAGAAGGCTGCATAAGAGTCTGAAGTAAGTGTGCTCAAATAAGGATTGCCAGGAGTAGAATTTGTTGTCTTCTGGGGTGGAGAAAAAGAAAAGACATTAGCATTTTTTTTTTTCTTTAAAGGGAGACTGAGAGACAGCATTTAAATTGGAACATATTTTTAAATGTATTTAATATTTTAATATATAGCAATCATTCATTCCACTAAATTGAAAGGCAGGTAGAGAACAGGAGAGGCAATAAAAGGGTTTCCTGTTAGAAACATTATTATCAGTAAATGATTTTCTGTAGCAATAGAAAATCACAAAAGAATCTGGTAGCCAGTGAATGGGGAATGTATTTTTGTTAAGATAAAGCACTGAGTCCTCATTCAAGGATGAGAAAAAAGTTCAAACTGGAATATAAAGAAAAGGGGATGTGTGGAGAAAGATGAGGGAACTGTAAAATTAATACCTACAATGAAATTAAAGTAGTTCAGTTGCCTTTTATTTTTGGTCAAAATTGAGAAGTTTCCCCATAGTAATTTATTATTTTCATAAAAGGAAACAGGAATATATATTTTTAGTTGCAGCACTTTATTAAAAAGAAAGACTGAATTGCAAGTGTAGGCTTAACCTGTATTTTTCTAAACTTCTTTTACACATTGAAAATATAACTTACATATCTCTGATTGTCACCCAAATGGGGAATAAAACTCCTTAACACTTGATATGTATAAAAGAGTAGGCATTACTTTATTCAGTGTCAGAGGCATGGGGGATCACTCCACCTAGCATGGCCTCCGTACACTGTATCAGCTAGTACACGTATTGTTCTGCTACATACATATTAATGACATTTCTCTGAATGTTCATGAATATTCATTAACTGATTGATCTATTTACATAGCCATTATGCATGCCTCTTAAATCGCTATGGGGCTTCTAGAGGCGCCTTCCGTGGTCTCTGGTGGTCCCTAGTGGTCTTTGGCAGTTCTTCATACAGAGAACTTTCTGTGAACTTCACATCCTCTTATATGGGCGTAAACTGGCTCATCGTTTGGCCTCTTAAGTTCCGCTGTTATCTTGTCCTATGCCAGTCAGTTTCTCGTGTGATCTTTGGCAAGCAGCTGTTATCTGCTTTGTGCTTTCTTGGTTTAGAAGTTAGCTTGTGAACATTTACAATAACAATTCTTTGTCCTTGCATATCTCAAGGAGTTATTTTGTGAATACTTTAAATACGATCATCCTGTTTTAACATCTTCTCAAATTAGAGAACTCGTAAACTTGATTCAGCTAAAAAAAACTAAAAGAACAGAAAGTTATTTCAAGCAAAAATGTATTTCTCCTAAATTGTTTTTCCAAGTGTTTGAGTTAAACAGATCTTGTGTTTGGCAGGGGAAGCTTAAAAAAAATCTAACTTTGAAAAAAATACTGTTGGGGTTTTTTTTAATTTGAATAATTCTTTCTGGAAATCACTTTCCCTGGAAAATGCCACACCTAAACCCTTCAGTTTCTTCAGTTCCCTCAGAAAATACCTGAACAATACTTTCACATAAAGAAAAGCTAAACAAGAAAATAAAGTCTTCTAGTTCTCCCTTCTCTTAACATCATGTCAACAAAGTCTGCTTTTTTGGAGAGGGTTTTAAGCTATAGAGTGGAAACACTAAGATACTGAGCTTCCAAAGCAGGTGTAAGATTTGCCCCTGACAAGCGTTTCTACTACAAGAGAAGTGAGTTGGCTGCACAGCAGACTATGGCTTGGTGCATCCTCCTCTCCTTGCCAGTGGCTGACCCTCATAGACCTTCTCGTGCAGCCACACAGCCCTGTTCTCCTTCCAGGTAACTGGAGTTATGCACCCGCACACATTCTCAAAATACCTTTTGGCAAAATATTTCATTGAGGAAAACTGGCTTTTTGCAAAAATGGCTGGTGTTGTAAATAGTTACTTGTAAATAGTTACAATACTGTTTGTTTTAGCAATTGTAAGCAAAGATACCTGCATCCTTGAAGTATTTAAGAAAGTCGGCTGAAACTAAATAAGGGAACAAAGGACTCTCGCAAACAAAAGGATGAGGCAAGTGTGATGGTTTGAAAGTCCTTCCGCTCCTGGGAGTGGAGATTTGAAATCTAAAATCAGAAGTGAGCCTGAATGAAAGAGGCGGAGATCTGTTGTATTTCCTCTCCCCTCTTCCTGCCTTCGGGAGTTCCTGCTGGGGTCTGTAAAGGGGGAGGGAAGACACGCCCCCTCCTCCCTTTCCTGGGATCCCGGCCCGAGAGACGCTGACCTGCTGCTTTCTTCTTCTGTGCTGCACGTGGCGGTGAGCACAGATGGCGGTGCCATCTTGGGACCTGGGCCTGCGCTACGGGCTCATTCCCTGCCTCCATCCACACCCAAGGTTTGTGCATCCAGCTTCAATCCAGCGAGATCCAGTACTGAGGAGCCTCAACGCTGCATTTTGGTTTTGTATTTTTGGAATTTTACCCTTCCTTGCTTTGTTGTTCCCATAATCCCTTTACCCTGTTAAACCCCTACCCTTCTTCCTTTCTGTTTTCTGTTAAATAGTATATTTCACTTTTGTTAAAATGCAAAGCTTTCATTACCCCTGCCTTCCTTTGTTTACCTCTCTACCTGAGAAAACTAAGGGATAAGGGAGGGGGAACACAATTCTGCCTTCTAACCAGGACAGGCAACTCTCAACCAAATAAGGAAGAAGAGGCCAAAAGTTCAAGCAAAGTTCTTCTCTTGGAAAATAACCAGGAACCACCAGGACCCTCATGGAAACCTCTCAGAGACCCAAACATCATGCATAATGACCACATGAATATGACGATTAGTTTCAGGAAATAGAATGAACATACATTATTTTTCTGGGAAATTTGATAAATATATACATAGCAGGATGATATAAGCTTTGACTGATGCAACACATGTTATGCATGTTAGGCTGAGTGATCCCCTGTGCATCTGGCACTGTAACAAGTAGAATGGCTGCTTCTTCATGCTACATTGGTGTTCAGGGGTTTATTCCTGATCTTGGTGACAGTGTAACATTGTCTTTGCCCCAAAAAATTTTCTTCTCTCCTCTGTGACATTTTTTTTGAAAACACAAAGAAAGCATATGAGAGGTAGAGAAATATCTTGGGCACTCTTTTTTGGGAGGTATCCTCTTTATGTGTGAGTGTATGCCCATTTTGTTTCTTCTTTTCTTAAATAAGTTCTGTAGTAGATATGTTGCCAACAGACATCCTAAGCTTTTTTTTTCAGGAGCACTGGGCAACTTTGGTTGCAATAAAGCCCCATTTTGTGACAGTGGCTGCTGTCTTGTTTTGTGGGTGTCTCTGTAACACTGTCACAATTGATATCTACTAAGGGTTTGAATCAGTAAATAAAAGTTATGTTATGTTAGATTTTCTCTGCTATGATCACCATTTCAAGCTGGAGACACTCAGTACACTATGTTTGATTTCAGAAGCTGTATGAAAGAGTGGTTGGACCAGACAGTAATCACTATTTAGTGAAGAACTTAAGGACAACCTGCGTGATAGGACAAAAAATCAGCAGGACATGGATAATACAGAAGTAGAGTTTAAACAGGTTTCTAAAAAACACAAACATGCCCTGAAGAAAGATGGGTTTGCATCATCTTCTTTACAACCATATTTAGAAGCTTTTGCAGTACCTCTCCCACCAGAACTAGAAAATGAAGATCATCTGATGCCAGAGAATACGACTGAGAGAAACCCTAACTATGAGCAGGAGCTGAAGAAACAGTATGATAAAGAACAGGACAAGGTAAGGCAGATACCAGAAGAAGGTATAGATCCTACCCACTCTTACGTTGTGCCCCAAAATTAATTCCCTTGTGTCCTTGGGCAATCTGCACTTACTAGGGCTAAGCAGGAGAGTACTTTTGAGAGCAGGGCCAAGCAGTGATTTGTGTAACTAGGAAGATGGGTACCTGCAACTAGTCTGCAGGCATAAAAAGTGCAGGTGTAAAAACCAGGATGGTGACAGCCTAGCAGCCAGTTTAATGTGCAATATGTACCTGTTCCGCTGGTAACAATTAGCAAATGCTGAATAGAAATATTAAAATCTGATACACTTTTTACTTGAGGTTGTGCTACCTTCAACAGAAATGCAAAGAAAGGTTAACAATAACCTGTGTTGAATATCCAAGACAGAATACAGATTGGTTTTAAGTCTGTGTCATAGCTGATGCTGTTCCTTGAAAATGGTGAGGGTTTGCTAGGTAGCAAAAATTGTAATGAAGATCGTAAGGAGAAGTTACCAATCAGGTTTTAAAATGCCTGCCTCCAGTAATGTGTGCTGTCTTTCTCATCTTGAGAGGAAAATCTGCTCTGTTTGATTACATCTGACGGATCAATGTATTTTCAGAGGTGGCTTTCTTAGACAAAAGTGGTTATGGGAAACCTTATGCTATACTTCCAAAAAATCCAGTATGAACGTGCAGTTAGGAACTGCAAAATACTGGTGCTCTCAAAATTGCATTTCTAAATGCAGCAGCCAGACTAGAGTGTGGAGAGACAAACAGAGAGAAAAGACCAAGCTGGCCTTTCATACTTTAGCTGGGCATACTTAAGGGCAGGTAGACCAGTGTTTTATAAGGCAGAAAATTATTTAATTTGTTTTTATGAAAATTAAGAGCCCGTGTTAATATCTGGCACATGTATCAAAACTAAAATGTGACAAGAAAAACATGTAAAACAAATCACTCATATTCAGCCGTTAGCCTAGCCTAAAATGAGGCAAAGAAGAGCCATGGTGATCTAAAAGATTTTAGCCACCTGCTAAAGCCACCATGACAGAACACTTTTGCTATTTGCTCACAAACTAAATCTTGAAACTTCAAAACAAACACTTCATAAGCTATTTTGTACTACATTATTACTAGGACTATTCTTGATTTGCATACACATACTTCAGTATACCTGAAGATGAGTAGAAGAAAATAGTTATTTTTTAAAAATAAATTATCAAACCACACTTAGTACTGAGGTCTCCTTTTACTCTTTGCCTTCTTAGGACAGGTTGCACAGCTTGGTATTTTTATTAAGTGTGGTTACTGAGCCAACCAAAACTGATTTTGTCGTATTTATAGATAACCTGTTTATAAAATGGAGATGCAAGGATGCACAGTGATATGAAGTACAACTCGATGCCAGTAGATAAGGTTTACTAGAGAATGATGAGCTAGAAAAGATGCCTAAAAGTTTGGGTGTAGGGTTTTTTTTGCGTGTGTATGGAAACAAGTTATTTTAAAATTATGGAAAATTTGTTGTAACTTTATCAGGCAGCAGAACATACCTTGTACAACCAATATGAGGAAAAGATCCGACCCTGCATTGATCTCATTGATAGCCTGAGAGCTCTGGGAATTGAAAAAGACCTGGCTCTGCCCGCCATCGCAGTCATTGGAGACCAGAGCTCAGGGAAGAGCTCTGTCCTAGAGGCCCTCTCTGGTATTGCTCTTCCTAGGGGCAACGGTAAGAACTGACCTTCTCAGGTTTTCACCTGGAGTTCGTTTGATGAGGCAGAAGGGACTTTTTCTTTTTTTTTCCTCTTTTTTTTTTTTTTTTTTTTTTCTTTTTCTTTTTCAGACTAGGATTGGATAACTCCATGGCTGAGATTGTATCTAAGTAGTGAGACTTTCAGCTCTGGTTTCCTGTAGAAAAAATTGACATGCAGGTGGGGCACTGCAGGGTAACCCCAACAAAACACGTGTTCTGGTTTGTCAAGAGTCAAGGAGTAAGAAGAGTACCATACACTTGCCTCAAACTGTGGATAGAGTGAAAGGTAGCATCAGCTGGCTTTGTGCATTTGCCAGCAAAGAGTAGTGCGTGGAGTATCAGCTTCACATGGAGGACTAGTTTTGAAATTTTTCTTTTGGGGGTTGTTTGGGTTTTTTTTAACAAGATTTTCTTACAGATACCCTTTTGGCAAAGATCTTTACTTACAAATGTGCGTGCACGTGTGTGTATGTATACACACATGTGACTTCTGATTCATTTCTAGCTCTGTGCATGTGTATACACACATACAAGTTCTGCAAGTTCTATATAAGCAAACGATGCCAAGTTCCTCAGGCAGGACTTGAGGAGAAGGATTTTGTAGGATGTAGTTGAAGCACTAAAACAGGTCACCCAGATAGGTGAAATTCTCTCTCTTTGGAGGTTTTCAAGACAAAATGTAGCTTGACCTTGTCTAGTGCCAGTAACAGTCCTACTCAGAGCAGGAAGTCAGAGAAGAGTACTTTGGCAGTGTCTCTTGGAACATTTTTGTGTCTCTGTGCAAAGTGCTAGGCAATCCTGTGTATGCCACACAGTCCATGGCTATGTATCATGCATAACAACTGCTGAGAGTTTCCTCTGTCTTTGGAACTGCTGCAGGTATTGTTACTCGATGTCCCTTGGAACTTAAGCTGAAGAGAATACCTGCCACCCAGGCATGGAAAGGGAAAATTTGTTTCCACAATACCAGTACAGAGCTCCACAATGCCTCTGAGGTGGAGAAAGCAATCAGACAAGGTGACTTATAACATATTCCCCTCTTACTTGGCTTGCTTAATCTCCTCTGAGTACTTTCTCCCCTTTTCTTAGGCTGAGCAGCAGTCCCCAGACTAACACAGAGATTGTAGTCACAGGTAACACCAAGAGCTAAATTCAAGGCAGAAGGAGGTAGGGTAGCAAAGAGTTGTACTACTTACTACTTCAGTGGTGAAGATGATCCATGATGTTTGATAAAAGCCCAGACTGTTTCCCCAGCTGGATGCTTCTTGCCTGTTCTGGGCAGGTCATCTATTAAAATGTAAACATTCAAACCCCAAAATTTTTCCTGTCATCTGTTCAAAAGCAGAATACTTGAGGTGTCTGTGACTGGAAATCATGATTTTGGAGAAAATTCCAAGAAAGCAGCGTGGAGAACTTCTAGAGTTTCTGCCAGCTAGCATGACCACAGCCTCAATCACTGCTCTTCCCATGTCACAGCTTTACTTTTAGAGTATTTCATGCTGTGTAAGGAAACATTTTTCCTACCCAAAGGGCAGACCAAAGTCACAAACATCCTGACCCGGTACCCCTCTCGTACCGGTTCATGGCAAGGCACTTGCCCTAAATCCTGAAGTTGGATTGCACTTATTTCCTCTACTAGCATAGCTCTGCAACATTGTTGTTTGTCCTAATGTTTTTTTTTCATTAGCTTTTCAATGTATTATTTCAGTGTTTTCAATATATCCTTCCACTTGCCTGTACAAGGCATGTAGGATAAATTGATTGAGGTAATTACATAACTGAAACTCTCTCATGAGAATGACTATGGGATTTCCTTTTTCCTCTGCTGCTCACAGCTCAAGCATCATTACATTATAATGTCTCAGACAAATTACTTGATTGCTTAACGTCTCTATCAAAATGTAAAGAATATAGAATAACACCTATTTACTTTTCAAGGTAGCCAAGGATTTACTACAAAGTGTCTTGATGTTGAGGAAGCATTTCTGTAACTGAGGAGTATTTTATCTAGACACTTTCATTGCAGTTTATTTACACGTGTTTTGTCTGCATATATGAGAGTTCTTAAGTGTATGCTCTGAAAACTATTGTAGTTCACATTCCAAAAGGACTCCGATCATAATTTCCATATATTTGTTCATAAATAGATTTACACTCATCACTGGATCTGAAAAAAGCCAAGCCTAAAAGAGCCTTAGGTGGTGGTAGTTACTTTTCAAAGCCATTGTGCTCAGCTTCACTTGGATGCATTGTTTGCATTTGTTTGATGCATTACCTTGCTCTTTTCTCTGTGCAGCCCAGGATGTTGTGGCTGGCACTAAAGGTGCCATCAGTGGAGAACTAATTTCCCTAGAAATTTGGTCCCCAGAAGTACCAGATTTGACACTAATTGATCTTCCTGGAATTGCCAGAGTGGCCGTGGGAGATCAGCCAAAGGACATTGGGGAGCAGGTAAGATTCAGTCCCGTGTGCCAAGCTGTGCACAGGGTCACTTTTGTAAGGTACCTGCTGTGCGTGCCTCGGCTGCAGGGCACTGCAGTTATGCTAGGCCAGCTGTGAGGGTGACATACAGGAGCTAGGTGGATTGTTTCTCCTAAAATACCTTTAAATAAGAACTTGGAATAAGACTAAAACAGACAAGATTGGATTGTCTGGGCTTTACTGTCTGGGAGAAGAGTAATTTCATTTCACAATTAGATAGTAATCTTTCTACTGTATTCAGAAGAAAGCAAAAGTGTGACATGAACCACACATTTCCATCATCCCCAGCTGCCTGCATGCCACAGAGATGGAGGCTATAGCGTTGCAGCATGTCAGAAATAGGGATGGGTGGGAAGAATAAAAGAGAGGCACCTTTACCAGAACTCATTAAAAAAAAAAGTTTGCTTGCTTCGGTATAAGCACAGTAGAGCTGTCTGCAATACAACACAAAGCATGAGAAACTTTTTTAGTCTGGCATTGAAACATTGAAAAAATTCCTAGTAGGTGTCATGTGCAACTTGTTTGGTGGGGGTTTTTTGTTTTGTTGGTTTTTTTGTTTTTTCACAAATAGCCCACTGAAATACAAGCCAAAGACATTTGCTTTCCTTTCAGACATACAAATTTGAGATTTATCAGTATAATCTAGCTTGCTTGCTTTACACGAGCGTGTGCTTAGACATTAGAACTTGTTCTTCTTACATGTGATTATTTATGAAGTATCTTTAATACTTCCATAATGAAAGTTCATATGCATGAGAGGTCAAACTTTACACAGCTTTCAGAGCAGGCGTAACAACAATCTGGTCTCATTTATGCTAGGTATTTGGATTACTCTTAACACAGGAAAGAGGCTGCATTCTTCTGCTGACCCATTTCCATGCTGTCCTTTACTATGCAATACTGTCCTCAGTATATGTGACATTTAATGTCATCAGACAGCAGCTTGTATTGATAGAAATGGTCACATCCTACATGCAAGCATCTGATTTCACTAAGTTTTACTACTGTTGTATTGCAGATCAAAACACTACTTAAAAAAATTATTGGCTGCAAAGAGACACTCAATTTGGTAGTGGTGCCATGCAATGTGGATATTGCAACAACAGAAGCACTGAAAATGGCTCAAGAGGTGGACCCAAGTGGAGAAAGGACATTAGGTGAGGTAATTTTCATACTACAAGTTGAAGAGAAGTGCAGATTTTTTTTTTTCTGTTAAAGTCTGATGTTCTGTATTCCATGCCAGATCTGTAAAATTAGCTACTAGAAGAAAAAATAAAATTAAAATAGCCTAAATAAACTATTTATAAAGCTTGAGATGACCCAGTAGCTCTAAGAATCTCTCAATTTTGAGTCTTGCTGGCATTCCTGTTATGAATAACTGGAAATTGAAAATCTCAGAGTAAATAGTTGAAAACCTTCGCTACTGCCTGTTAAAAAAGGTTTGCAAGGCAGAAGTCATGGTGGTAAGCCAAGTGCAGAGCAAGTTTTAGAGTGCAAAGCCCAGGACCTGAAAGCTTTCTGGGAGGGAGAAAACAGAATGAAGAGAAATTGCTTTATAAAACATGGAAGAGTGTTCCCACTCTGGCGGCAGGATGTCCTACTGCACCTCTCCCACCTTGAACTTCAGTGCTTGACTAACTTTCTCTTTGGATAACTTCACAGGTATCCTCACTAAACCTGACCTTGTAGACAGAGGAACTGAAGAGTCTATCATTAACATAATACGAAATCAAGTCATCCCTCTCAAAAAAGGATACATGATCGTGAAGTGTCGTGGGCAGCAGGACATCCACAACAAAATGGCCTTAGCCACTGCAATCCAGCAGGAGAGAAAGTTCTTCGAGACTCACAGATATTTCAGGTACTTCTCACAGAAAGGACCTATTCAAGTCTCTTAAAAACTTTCTTAGCACTTCAAGTTAAGCACTGAAATATTTCTATTCACTGGAAAACATGGTGAAATCCAGCATGAGAAAAGATGATGCCTGTCCTCAGGGCACAGATTTCCCCAGAAGATGAGTCAGAGGCAAATCAGTCATAATATAGAGAATGGCAGGTGAAAAGGTTTTTGAATCAGTGTACTTCATACATGCAGAAATAACACAGCAGAATATTAATCTGCTATTAGAGTTGCTATCTTCAGATTCTTCTCCATTTCCCTTTGCTTTGCCAGTAGCAGTAGCTGTCAGACCACTCTTCCATAAAAGCTATGGTGCCCAGAGAGTTCTGGGCTGCTGCTGCTGCATCTGTAGTAGCACTCCCCAGAGGGCCCTTTCTTTACTCAATGTTTGTAGTAGAACTAGTGAAAACAGAGCAGGTCATCAGTTCTGCATCCTTCCTCTGTGCACACAGTCTATCCAAAACATCTTTTTCCTCTTTTTTGCAGCATTCTTATGGAAGAAGGAAAGGCTACTGTCCCTCAGCTGGCAGCAACACTCACAAACGAACTCGTGAGGCATATTATTGTAGGTAACAGAGGGGTCCTACTAAGCTGCTTGTATCAGTAAATAGCTAAAAATAAATTCTGTCCTTCAGCCCTGTATTGCAATTGACTGCAATTGAATTGCATGATAGTGTGCATAAATAGTACTTAATTATCTTTGAATCCAACAATCTGAGAACAAGTTGAACTGGGAGTTAGACATAAACCCATGCTCTGCCCTCAAATTTGCCTTTAAGCTGAAGATTGACAGTAGGCAATACAGAATAAAGTCAGAATTGTTTAGGCCTTTTGGAAAAGACCTTCAAGATCATCAAGTCCAACCATCAGTCTAACTCTACCAAGTCCACTGCTGACATGTCCCCAGGTACCACAGGCAAACTTCATCTCTTTGTGACTTATAACTCCTGCCTTTTCAATGGCAGCCATGACATTTCTTTTGTTTGCGAAGAGTGTCGATCTGCTGGCTGACAAGTTACAGCTATCATCTCACTAAAACACAATCATTTATATTTAACTGCAAATGTCTTCAAAATCTCAAGATCTAATTGCTTTATTACTATACTAATACAGGTATGTTGGGTTTTTAATAAGTGTATCTGCAATTAATGTATCTTATTTCATTAAAGGAAAATGCTAAAATAGAAGGAATACCTAAACACTCACTCCTGAAGGAAAACAAAATATGTATGTATGAAACCTTATATAAAATAAGGAACTGAAACACTGTTCAATCAAGTATTTATGAGGAATGGAGGGGTCAGTACATTCCCCGCAGCACCTCCTCCCCGGCACAGCCTGTGAGGACATAGCTTTTGGCTCACTGTAGGTGAAATGTTGCCCTACTCTGCCCATCTCACAGTGAGGTCCAGCCTACTTTTTCAGGGAGATCCTAGTGCTCTGCCTTCTCTCAGTGAAGGCCATATTTGCATTCTGTGCTATCCCACTATCGCATATGAGATGCAAAGAGCTCTTGGACTCCTAAGAGCAGCAAAGACCATGTGCAGGTGTGCGTCATTCTTCAACAGATCTTGTTTGCCTCCCCAAACTAGACATGTTCAACCTACCTAAATGCCCTTCTTTGCTGTTTACTCTCCAGAAAACTTTGCCAGCACTAGAGAACCAAGTACATGCGGTGCTCCAAAAAACATTGCAGGATCTACAAAAGTATAGAAGAGGCACACCCAGAACAGAGTCTGAGAAGCTGGTTTTCCTTGCAGATGTAAGTATGAATATTAATTTGGTCACAGAGGAGGGTGAAGAGGTAAATGTGGGAGGAAAAAAAAACACCCAACGTTTTGAAACCAACAGTATGAACCACTAGGAGGCTTGTGGTATTTGTCACTGAAGTGTTTTGAAAGTAATATAGACAAACCTCTGGCAGGAATACATCACACCTGTGAAAATAGTTAATCACAGGAGCTCATGGCCCCTTACAGCAATTTTTTTTCCTGTAGTTAATGGACAAGAGACCTGAATGGCAACTTAGTTGACTGGTCAAAATCAAGCAACTCAGAGAGGGAAAACTTACACTCCTAGACATTTTAAAAGTTTTTCATTGTTTACAGCACTCATAAGAGCAAAGGATTTCCTGAGATCAAAATGAGTTTTCAAGTCTATCTAAGTGTCTAATCTTAGGGAGCTAATCCCTTAGTAAGCTTTCAGCAGG